GGGCTCTCAGGCAAAAAATATGGGAGCAGGAAATAACAGTTCTTTAATAGGGAGAAAATAAAAGGATAAAATAAACAATGCAGTAAACTACAAACAACACTGCCAGAGTCAGAACCCAGCCTGACACCCTGTCAGGGTGTTGGTGGCAATCCCATTGGAATTGTGGCTCAGCCCTTCTGCAGTGTCAGGGCTGGTTCTGCTGGAGCAGGGATCCTGGAGAATCCAATGGGAATTGTGGCTCAGCCCTCCTGCAGTGCCAGGGCTGGCTCTGCTGGAGCAGGGATCCTGGAGAATCCAATGGGAATTGTGGCTCAGCCCTCCTGCAGTGCCAGGTGAGGTTCTGCTGGAGCAGGGATCCTGGAGAATCCAATGGGAATTGTGGCTCAGCCCTCCTGCAGTGTCAGGGCTGGTTCTGCTGGAGCAGGGATCCTGGAGAATCCCATTGGAATTGTGGCTCAGCCCTCCTGCAGTGCCAGGGCTGGTTCTGCTGGAGCAGGGATCCTGTAGAAAGGTGCAGTCTCTTCCTCTGAAGATCCAGGGGAAGGGGCAGCTGCTGTTCCTCTGGGGAATCCAGTGCAGAAGCTGTGCTGGTGTCTCAAAACCTCTGGATTATATCCGGGTAGGATTGCTTGGCTCCTCCCTCTGGGCTCACATCTCCCAATGGGCTGTTACAGTTCTTATCAGCCACGCAGGGACATTCCATAGCTGTTATTAGCAGTGTCCCCTCCTGAGGGAGGAGTGAGTGTGGTCACTCACAGAGAGAGGTAAGGCAAACTGCCCACTTGACAAAGATAATCTGCCATATACAGATGGTGATAGAACACATCTTGCCTTGCAATCTGGAACAGTTTCTCACCTGACAGGACCCTCACAGCAGCTCCTCACTCCCATCCTGGAGTGCTTTCCATGGAAGCACTTTGGGCATTCCTCTGTTTCATCCGGTTTGGGGCAGCGTGACTCCCACACGGAGAGAGCGGCGTGAAAAACAGGGAACAAATATTCCAGCAAACCACAGAGTAAACGAGAGGGCAGCTGCAGGAATCCAGGGGATCCAGCCAGACACAAAACAAAGCTGGAGGCCTGCACAAGCTGCTTCTGTGCACCAGGAAAAAGCTTCCTGGGAGCTTCCCGAGGGTTTTCAGAGCACTTTGGGGAATATAAATTGTCCTTTCAAACAGCTGCTGCCAGGGCCAAGGCTGCAGATTAAATATTATGACAACATTCTGTAACAAAGGAGCTGGGAAAGCTGAGTTCACCCCTGGATGTGGGGCAGGGCAGGGAGGAGGGGGAGCAAGGATTTCCTACAAAGCCCCAGGATCCATCAGGGATGTGGACACCGTGCAGGCAGCTGGGCCTAATGGTGGTGACACAGCTGGGACACGGGGCACAGACTGCTCAGGGAGAAGGAGATTCCCAGAGCCACAGTCTGGAAATACAGCTTTGGGAACAGCTTATTTTTATATCATCTTGCTGTCCCCCTCTCCTGCTTCTTGCTTCTCCTCAAGGAATAGTTTGTTCCTCCACAGCTTGAGATAGCAGTGTCCTGGTGTTTTCTTTTCCCTTCCGTGCTGTTGTTGTTGATTTTACCACTTCCTGGGGGATTTTTCCTTTGGGAATTGTGCCATGGCTTTGGCTGTGGTGTCACCCAGAGCAGGAGTTCTGTGGGTGCTTCTGGACTGGAGGTTCTCCACAGCAGCTTGGACCTGGCAGGCTCAGACTTCCCAATCCTTCCCTTCCAGGTGGATGCATTGTCCCACCACATCCGGGTAAAAAAATGGAACAAACACCTCCACAGAGCCAAGTGTCATTTGATTTGAGGTGACAAAACTATGGAAATGGAGGAGCCATCCCTTCATTTCCACACCCAGCTGCTGTGACTGTTGCACCACGTGGGATGTGTGGAGTTAAGAAAAGCCCAAACTCTGGAATTAACCAGGATCCATTACAAATTCCCACTTTGGCCAGACAACATCAGTGTTTGGTGCCTTCCTGCACTAATGGGTTCATAATTCCTCTGTTTAAGGCAATTAAACCAATTAATGCCACTCTCGCTCTGATTCATGACATGAAATTAGAAGTTTCGGTGCAATTAGTGAATTCAGACCTCGGGGAAGACTCTGCGTTTTGCCTTAAAAATCTGGCAGGAGGTGATTCCCAGCAGCCGGATCGGGATGGCAAAGGGTGCCTGGGAATGTGAGGCAACTGTGCCCCCTGCAGACAGCCGGAATCCCTGGAAAAAATCCCTGGAAAAAATCCCTGGAAAAGCCAGAGCGCCTGGAAAACGGGAGGGGAAGAGCCAGGCAGGAGATGCACTCACCGGACCTCCACAGCCCGTCCCTCTGAGCGCCCTGAGCTTAAAGCTCTCCTCCAACCTTGCTGATTTCATGGAATTTCAGAATCAAAAAACTCCATAAAGAAACTTTGATAATCCCGGGCCATCACAGCTGATTTAAAAACCAATGTTTTGATGTACAAAATGCTCAAAAAATAGGAACTGTTATATCGACAAAAATGAAGCGCTGAATTTTTGAAAGAAGATCAGTGTGTTCTTCAGATATTATTATTATTAATAATAATATATTATAATAATCTATTATATAATATAATTATATAATATATAATATATATATTATTTAATTATTATTAAATTTATTATTAAATTTATTATTATTAAATACATAATATTTAATAATATATAATATATAATTATAATAATATATTATATAATAATAATAATAATAATAATAATAATAATAATAATAATAATAATAATAATAATAATTTCTAATTTTTCAAATTTATCATTCAATTTCTTTTAATTCCAATATAAGAATTAAAACTCTGTACAAAAGATGCTAACCAATACTGTTTTCACACATGCAAGTGAAACTTTGGTATCTCTGAATCTCACACTTTGGTATTACAGCTGAGGAAAGGAATGTGACCCCTGAAATTCGAGGTGAGTGAGCAGGGAAATGTCACTGAATCACACAGGAAGTTTTAGGAATGCTACAACGATTTGTGTTGGAATTCCAAGGTCCTGCCCTTCTCCCAGACTCGGGCCCTGTGCTGCTGCCGTGCCTCCCTTTGCCACAAATCCTTAGGGAATGACTCAGGCTGGCTCCAGATGGTGACTGTGCATGTTCCAAAGGCGCTGTGCTGGCTACAGCCCACCCCAGTGATTCCTCACAGGAACAGGGGCTTGGAGCTCCTGCTGATCCCACAGCAGGGATGGGGACAGCTGGTGCTCACGTGTGCCCATAACAGGGATTTTTGGGGGGCCACACATCCCAACATCTGTGCTGTCACTGAGCCATCCCTCCCTTCCAGAGCCACCTTCCCTATGGAATGTCCCCAGAAATGTCCCTGATTGCCACCATCCCACCACAACCCCTGATCCCTTCATCTCCTCAGCCAGTTATTAATTAGTGTCCTCTCTCCTGCTGGTTAATGATTCTCTCGTTCCTCATGCTAATTAATCCCTTCCCTTTCCCTGTTTTGGGTCAGGCAGTTTCCTGGGGTGGGATCTTCCCCCTTGCCAGAATTCCCTTTTATCCAGCCACAGCTGATTTCTGATTTATCCACAACTGCTGAATTGGGGTTGTTGGGATCTTCCCTGCCCTGGCGGCTCTGCCAGATGCCTCTGTGGCTTGAGAATCCTGAATTCCCTGGATCCACTGCCACAGGAAATCCTGAACAGGAATCCTGCATTCCCTGCATTTCCTGCCAGGGGAAATCCTGAACAGGAATCCTGCATTCCCTGCATCCACTGCCACAGGAAATCCTGAACAGGAATCCTGCATTCCCTGCATCCACTGCCAGGGGAAATCCTGAACAGGAATCCAGGAATCCTGCATTCCCTGCATCCACTGCCACAGGAAATCCTGAACAGGAATCCTGCATTCCCTGCATTCCCTGCCACAAGAAATCCTGAACAGGAATCCTGCATTCCCTGCATCCACTGCTACAGGAAATCCTGAACAGGAATCCTGCATTCCCTGCATCCACTGCCAGGGGAATTCTCCTGAACAGGAATCCTGCATTCCCTGCATCCACTGCAAGGGGAAATCCTGAACAGGAATCCTGTATTCCCTGCATCCACTGCCAGGGGAAATCCATCCTGAACAGGAATCCTGCATTCCCTGCATCCACTGCCACGGGAAATCCTGGCTGATGAACGTTGTTAGCCTCACCTACATCATGAAAAGTGGCAAGCCCTGAGTTTAACACAGCAGTTCCACCGAGGAATTTATTTTCCCGGCATCCACGCATCCCTGGGAGCTCGCTGCTGCTCTTCCTCACCAGATCCATCGTCCTCCTTGTTGATTCTAATTGGAACTTACAAAGAACAAACATCAAATAACATCGTTCCTGAAGAAAAGCTTTACGTGTTCTACGTTTGACAACAATCAGGCAGGACCTGCCTCATGACCCCCTTCTCCCTGCAGCCCTCTGGGAAAATTGTTCAGCATTTCCGACAGTTAACTGTTTTTATTTGGTTTTTTAACTCTTGCTCTTGAGATGTCAGGACGAATCGCCCGCCCAGCATCCCCTCAGCCGCACTCCCCCCTCACTTTGCGCCCTCAGACGGCTTTAATTTCGGTTAATTAAAATTTAATTCCGGTTAATTAAAAGGACAAACGGGGGCAGCTCGGAGCGATACCCCGACCCCTCAGCCACCGCCGCGACATGGCGGCGCATGACGTCACGGCGCCGTCCTGACGTCACGGGGGCCCGCAGCGCCCCGTCAGCTCCGCCCCCGCGAGGCCCCCTCGCCGCGGGGCTGTCCCTGTCAGTGCCTGCCGCCGCCGCCGCGCTCCCGGGGCCGCCGCCCGCCTCGTTCCCCCCCGGCCCGCGGGGCGGCTCCGCTCTTACCCCGGCCGGCCGCTCGTCCCGGCGCTTCGCGGCGCTGCGGGCGCGGAGCGGGCCGCGCGGGGCGGTCGGGCGCGGCGGGCAGCCCGGCTCGCTGGGCAGCCGAGGCGGGGCGGGCGCGGCGGCGGCGGCGGCTCCGGCCGGGTCAGTCGGTGCGGGGCGAGCGGCGGCGGCACGGCGGGCAGAGATGCCGCTCTTCGCCGCCAACCCCTTCGAGCAGGACGTGGGTGAGCGGCTGGGCCCGGTGCAGGGCAAGCAGGGCGGCCTCCCGTCCCCTACCACCTTCTCTTCCTCCTCTTTTCCCGCTTCCTTTTCCTCCTAGTCGTTTTCCTTCTCTTTTCCTCTCCCTGTTCCCCTCCCCGCTCTCCCTCTCCCGATCGGGCCCGATCCCGTTGGGTGTCTCGGTGGATGATCCGGAGGAGGATCGAGTGCTCCTTTGGCAGGTTCGGCTCGGCCCGGGCCGGCTGCTGAGGGAGCAGGGCTGGCCTGAGGCACCGGCGGCCATTGGGAGCTGGGCAGGCAGCGAGGCCGAGTGCTGCTCCTGGGAATGCCCCGAGCTGGGAAGTGTCTGGAAAGGTGGAAAAGGCCATGGGAGGTGCTGGTGCCATCGCTGAACACGAGCCCAGGGGTGCCGAGGTGTGCAGGAGGCCGGGGGTCCCTGGACCGTGCCAGCCCCGGTGTGACACAGCCCCAGGGCAGTGCTGGGGCACCTCCAGGGCTGGGGACAGCTCTGGGACAAGAGGGACCCTGAGGGGCTGCAGAATCCCTGAGGGAGTTGGGAAGGGGCTGCAGAATCCCTGAGGGAGCTGGGAAGGGGCTGGAGAATCCCTGAGGGAGCTGGGCAGGGGCTGCAGAATCCCTGAGGGAGCTGGGCAGGGGCTGCAGAATCCCTGAGGGAGCTGGGCAGGGGCTGCAGAATCCCTGAGGGAGCTGGGCAGGGGCTGCAGAATCCCTGAGGGAGCTGGGCAGGGGCTCAGGCTGGAGCCAAGGAGGATCCCCAGGGATCTTTTCCCTCTCTGGAATTCCCTGCCAGGAGGGCACAGCCGGGGGGGTCGGGCTCTGCTCCCAGGGCACAGGGACAGGAGCAGAGGGAACGGCCTCAGGCGGGCCCAGGGCAGCTCAGGGTGGGCACTGCAGGAATTTCCCCATGCAAAGGGGGCTCAGGGATTGCAGCTGCCCAGGGAGGTTTGCAGTGCCCATCCCTGCAGGTGTCCCAGGAATTCTGGAGGTGGCACTCAGGGCTCTGGACTGGGGACAGGGTGGGCATGGGCACAGCTGGGACTCCATGGGCTGGGAGGGCTTTTCCACCCAAAATAATCCCGGGATTGCTCCTGTGGCTGTGCTGGGCCCAGGGTGCTCCAGCTCAGGGTTCCCTGGCTGCTCCTGACCCATCCTGGCCGGGCTGGGGGCTCTGGCAGGGAAAGGATCCCTGGGTCCCTCTCTCCCTTCCCCTCAGCTACATGAAGGAATGGTTTGTGTCTGTTTTGCTCTGACTCCTGAAGTTTCCCAGCTTTTCCAGCGTGGCTGAGATGTCTCTGTGCCTCCTGGCCTTGCTGGGTTTGCAGGGATCCAGGGAATGGTGGCAGCTGGAACATCTGCTGCTTTTCCTCCTTTTACTGAGGATTCCTTCCCAGCAGCTTCCCCAGAACCCCCCAGGGCACACGGTGGGAGTGTTGGGGTGGCTGTCCAGGAGCTGCACTGGATGATCCTCATGGGTCTTTTCCAGCTCAGGATATTCTGTGATTCAGTGATTACAAAACCTGCCTGGAGTTGGGGTGAAGACAGTGACTCAGTTGTTTTCTTTTGTTTCCTGCCCTGACTTGTGCTTTCTTCAACTCGTGCTCAGTGTCACTTCTTTGTTACACAACCAACGCCTGTTCTCAATGGCAGCACTGAGAAAAGCAGAGAAATAAATGAGACACCGGGCTCAGCTTTCTTATTGGGATCCTAGGAAAGAAGAATTCAGCATTCCTGGGATTTTTGTCCCAGCCAAAATGGGAGAGATTGAGTGCTCTTGTTGCCACACAATCTCTGGTTTGTTTGTAGTATAAGTTGAGCTGGTTTCTTATTTTATTTATTATTTTACTTCTAATTTCAGTTCCCTGGTGCAGTTTGCTGTTTGACCACACTCACATTTCACGTGGCTCAAACTGATGTGTTTGTTCAAGTGGATTTTTTTTTTTGAACTCTGCAGGATTCTTTAACAAACTGAAATGCTTCAAGGACTCCCAGGCTGCAGAACTTCAAAACTGCGACTCTGTTTGCTTCCAGTTTCTCAAACTTTACTCAGTGTATTTTTTTCTTTACTATTTTAATATTAAAGTTATAACTTAGTATTTAAATATTAAAGTTATAACTTTAGTTTTTTTAACATTAGTAGTTATAACTTCTTATTATCACTTATTAAAATTTAGCATGTGCAACAGAATAGGAACTTGAATTATTGGGGCTAAATCTTAGAGTCCCTTGCCAGGAAAACTTTGTCATTAGAAGCTTTAAACAAATTAGTATTCTGTTGTGAATTAGACCATGGAAGATATCAGATTATCACATGTGGGTGCTCTGGGGAGGTGCTGAATTTGGAATTTTGGTGCCTTTTGTTGGCTGCAGCAGTGGGGCAGATCCAGCTGCCTCTTCATGTGGAGCTGCTCTTTTTTGGAACACCTGTGGGGAAAAAGGAATTTCCTCTTCCTACCCAACCCAGCCCTCAAGGGCTTCCATTTCCCTTAGGTTTTATTTCCTTTTTTTCTTTTTCTAGTATTTATTATTATTATTTCTGCTTTCCCACATGTTATTATTTTTCCCCATGTTACTATTTTCCCCCAGTGTTATTATTTTTTGCCACACCTGGGTTTGCTCAGTGGCTCCAAGCCCCCAGAGCTGAGCAGAGCCTTGGAATGTGCCTGGACACAGCTGCACATCCCGGGATAACCCTCTGGAGCTCTGGGGAGCGTGGCTGCTCTGCTTGGCCAGGAACCCCCAGAACCTTTGGGACTTTGACATTTCCAGGCTGGATGTGTTCAGACTCCACGTGCACTCGCTGTTCCCCAGCCCTGTCCTTCCTCTCGCACACCCTTCAGCCCTGGAGCAGCCTCCTTCCCTTTGCTGTTTGTCTCCCTGCCCTCCTCTCCAGGAGGGCTCCAGGAGCAGGAGGTGTTTGCTGGAGCTTGGAGAGGCCCTGCAGGGGGTGAGGACATCCCTGCTTGCCCCTGGGCATTCCCTGCTCCCTGCCTGTGATGGGAATGATCAGGGATGATCCTGAAAATTTCCCCTCAGTGCAAAGCTCCTTTCTTTTCTTTTCTTTTCCCTTCCCTTTTCCCTTCCCTTTTCCCTGCCCTTTTCCCTTTCCCTTTTCCCTTTCCCTTTTCCCTTTCCCTTTTCCCTTTCCCTTTTCCCTTTCCCTTTTCCCTTTCCCTTTTCCCTTTCCCTTTTCCCTTTCCCTTTTCCCTTTCCCTTTTCCCTTTCCCTTTTCCCTTTCCCTTTTCCCTTTCCCTTTTCCCTTTCCCTTTTCCCTTTCCCTTTTCCCTTTCCCTTTTCCCTTTCCCTTTTCCCTTTCCCTTTTCCCTTTCCCTTTTCCCTTTCCCTTTTCCCTTTCCCTTTTCCCTTTCCCTTTTCCCTTTCCCTTTTCCCTTTCCCTTTTCCCTTTCCCTTTTCCCTTTCCCTTTTCCCTTTCCCTTTTCCCTTTCCCTTTTCCCTTTCCCTTTTCCCTTTCCCTTTTCCCTTTCCCTTTTCCCTTTCCCTTTTCCCTTTCCCTTTTCCCTTTCCCTTTTCCCTTTCCCTTTTCCCTTTCCCTTTTCCCTTTCCCTTTTCCCTTTCCCTTTTCCCTTTCCCTTTTCCCTTTCCCTTTTCCCTTTCCCTTTTCCCTTTCCCTTTTCCCTTTCCCTTTTCCCTTTCCCTTTTCCCTTTCCCTTTCCCTTTCCTTTCCTTTCCTTTCCCCTTTCCTTTCCCCTTTCCTTTCCCCTTTCCTTTCCCCTTTCCTTTCCCCTTTCCTTTCCCCTTTCCTTTCCCCTTTCCCCTTTCCCCTTTCCCCTCTCCCCTTTCCCCTTTCCCCTTTCCCCTTTCCCCTTCCCCTTTCCCCTTCCCCTTTCCCCTTCCCCTTTCCCCTTCCCCTTTCCCCTTCCCCTTTCCCCTTTCCCCTTTCCCCTTTCCCCTTTCCCCTTTTCCCTTTCCCCTTTCCCCTTTCCCCTTTTCCCTTTCCCCTTTCCCCTTTCCCCTTCCCCTTTCCCTTTTCCCTTTTCCCTTTTCCCTTTCCCCTTTCCCCTTCCCCCTTCCCCTTCCCCCTTTCCCCTTTCCCCTTCCCCTTTCCCCTTCCCCTTTCCCCTTCCCTTTCCCCTTCCCCTTTCCCCTTCCCTTTTCCCAGAGGAGCTGTGGCAGTGCTTTGGGGCAGAGCTCTCCAAGCATTTCTCCTTTTGGCAGTGGGAGCAGCCAACAATTCCCAGCCCCTTCCCAGCTGCTCCTGTGAGTGCTCTCCCCTTTCTGGGCTGGCAGTGTTCCCTGGAACCACAGAGCAGCTCAGCTCAGGGAGCTCAACCAGGGAAAAGCCATTCCTTGCCCGTGGAATTGTTTATCAAAGCACCCCAAGCAGCTCACTTTGCTTTTCTCATTATTTCCATGAAAGCCAGCTCAGGTCTCCTGTTCCTTCATTAACTGGAGGGCTGCAGAGGACAAGTCCTTCCATGTTTTTAAAGGTTACCTTCCCTCTGGAAAACTCCTGGAAAATGCATCCTCCCACATCTGCTTCTGCTCTGTCTCAGCATCTGTGAGGGAGTTATCCTTGAGAATTGATCCTGGATTTAGGGAAGGAGAGCAGCAGCTGCTGCTCAGTTTGTCATGCTGGCAGGGAGGGAAACTTCCAGATCCCTGAGAGTTTGGGAAGGACAGAGCTGGGATCCCACAGCTGCTCCCAGCACAGGGTGGGTGCAGGACAGGGAATTGGCTCCTGTGGGAATGTGCTGGCAGCTGGGAGGGAGCAGCTCTGAGCGTGGTGTGCTGGGGGCTGAGCTTGTTTTGGGACCCTGTGGCTCTGCCCAGCTCCTGCCAGGAGGGCACAGCCAGGGGGATTTGGGATCATCCCAGGGCACAGGGACAGGAGCAGAGGGAACGGCCTCAGGCTGGCCCAGGGCAGCTCAGGGTGGATTTTGGGGCAATTCCTTCATGGAAAGCCATTTCCAACCCTGGCCCAGCAGCCAGGCCAGAGGTGAAGTCCCAGATGTTTTGGGCTGTAAATGCCAGGTTTGCAGGGAGAATATTTGGCTGCATTTCTGCAGTGCCCTGGGCCTGGGCTGAGCATGTGGGGCTCAGAGCCCTCCTTGTCCTCCTGCACTTCTGCTCCTGAGGATTTCCCAGCCATGCAAACCCCTCATGTGGGCAACCCTCATCCTAAAAATCAGCAAATCTGGGAGCCCATCCCAGCTTGGCCAGGCTTTCCCAGCAGGCCAGGACTGTCTGGAATTCCCAAACAGGAGGGGGATTTGGGATCATCCCAGGGCACAGGGACAGGAGCAGAGGGAACGGCCTCAGGCTGGCCCAGGGCAGCTCAGGGTGGGCACAGCAGGAATTTCCCCATGCAAAGGGGGCTCAGGGATTGCAGCTGCCCAGGGAGGTTTGCAGTGCCCATCCCTGCAGGTGTCCCAGGGATTCTGGAGGTGGCACTCAGGGCTCTGGGCTGGGGACAGGGTGGGCATGGGCACAGCTGGGACTCCATGATCCTGGAGGGCTTTTCCAAACGAAATAATTCCCTAATTCTGAGGTGAACTCTTGCTGGTGTAGCTGTGATGATCAAACCTTCCTGGTGCCGTGCAGGAGTTGGGATTATTTCCACTCAGGGAAATTGCAATGGATCTTTGGGAAGTACTTAAGTACTTCAGGATATCCTTGGGAATCTTTTCACTCCTTAGGGATTGCACAGCCAGGAAATCTGCAGCTTCCTCAGGCTGATTTCACTTGATTTTCCTTTTTTTTTTCTTTTTAAATATTTAAAATTGCAGGCACTCATTTATTTTTCCACACCATCCATGAATTTGTTGTTCATGCCCTAAAATATTGATGCACTTAAAAGAAAATGTAGCAATTCTGTCATTTTTGGGGTTAGTTTTGAAGGTTTGTGGTTTCAAAATAATATTTACTTCCTTGAAGTAAATATACCAGTTTGTGTGGATAAATTATACCAGTTTGTGTGCAAAAATTCTACATTTCCATTTTTTTTTACATCTGTAACAAAAGGGATTTGGGACATTGGTGGTGCTGTGGTTGTGTTCCCTTTGTGGAAATCTTTCTGCTGAGCAAAACTAAAATAAAATTGAGCTTAGTTGGTTAAAACTTAATCTTGAAGCAGCAAATGCAATCAAATGTTGAATTTGCTGTTTATTACTTGAACTGCAGTATTTACATGGGATTTAAATAAGCTGGCTAATAAAAACTTAAAAGCACAAATAAATACCATTAAGCCTTATTAATTAATCTGTAGAGTGAGTGGGCCAAGATGAGCTTTAAGGTTCCTTCCAACCCAAATCATCCCAGGAATCCATGAAATATTAATTTGGGATGCATTGCGTTGATAAAATCTAAACCCAATAAAGAAATGACTTCATAAATCTTCTTTTTCTTTCCAGAAAAAGCCACAAATGAATACAACACCAGTGAGGACTGGGGGCTGATCATGGATATTTGTGACAAGGTTGGGAGCACTCCCAATGGGTAAGCTGGGCCTCAGCATTCCTGGGAATTCTGTGCTGCTGGGAGGAGGAAAATGGCACAGAGAGCCCAGCTCCAAGTACATGGAGCTGCCTTGGAAATGTTTGGGAAGAAAAGTTCCAGGAGGATTTGGAGCAGAGCCCTTGGTGTGCACTGAGCACGTTGCAGCTTTTTCCTGCACTTTGGCACAGCACACCTGAGTTACCCACATTTCATCATCTGGCACCAATGTGGGGAAGTGGCTGTGCCAGGAGGAGAGAGTGAAACAATTTCTGTGCAGGAAAACACCTGGCAAGGAGCTGGGGCTTCTTGTGATCTTTGGCTGTGTCTGGTTGTTAGGGAAAAGGGGAGAGAAAATGGAAAAAACAGGGATCAGAGCACAAATCACTTGGAATCAGTTCAGCCTGAGTGGAACATAAATGGAATTTCAGTGATTCTGAAAAATGGCCAACAATATTTGATGAATTTTTGAGTGATGGCATCTTTTAAATTTGGAATTAATCTTCAATTTTTAAGATTAACTCTGGAATTAATCCTCAATTAATCAGAATTTTTAAGTCATTCAGAATTTTTAGCAGTTCCGTCTAACATTAAAATTGGGGTTTTTTTTGGTTGGTTTGGTTTGAATTGATTACCTGCCACAAGGAATAACAGCAAATCTGTTCAGTCTGGGAATCTTTAGCCCTGAAGAAAAAAAAACTCTTTTGAGTTCTTCATTACAAATCAAATTTTTTATTGCCACGAGACTTTTGTAGAGGGAGCTGTTTTAAATCTGGTTTTGGAGGAAGAGATGTTGTAAAAAATTCTGTGATTTAAAAAAAAATACATATGGAGAAATAGAAATATATAAAAGGCATAATTAAATGGAAATATATATATATTTATATAGAAAATAAAATCCCAAATTCTGAATTTGAAATGCCACTGCTGCTGGCATATTTTTAATTCAATTTCGTGTCCTTTTCTTCCTTTCTGCCCTTGAGAATAACGAAGATTTTTGCCTACCCTAAATAAAAATACAACTTAAAAGAACTGAGTTGACTTTGTTGGATGGTGTGTACATGAAATAAAATGAAAATATTAGGACTAAAAGTGTATTTTTCTGGCACAGAGGCTTTCCTGTACTTTTCTAAAACAGCAGCCCAAGTATCTGGCAGTGATACTATTTTTTAAATGCTGCATCAGCTTTTTTTTTATTTTTTTTTAGGATTTCATGTTTTTAAATGTTCCAAATATCAGTGTTAATGAAGCCTTTGATGTGCCTGAGCTCCTGCCAGCCATTAATGCTCATTTCAAGTGTGGAAAGCCCTCAGCAGAAGCATTTAAAAAGCTCTTTATTATTCTGCACTCACCTCAGGTTGTGCTGAAACAAATGATGGAAACCTTTGTGTCCTCAGCCTGAGGGCAAGGGGATCCAAGAGCTGGGAGTGAAAATAAATAATATAAATAATTTAAATATTTAAATAAATAGATTATATAAATAATACAAATATTTATTGGAATATTTAAATAAATATATTATATAAATAATACAAATATTTATTTAAATATTTAAATAAATAGATTATATAAATAATACAAATATTTATTTAAATATTTAAATAAATAGATTATATAAATAACACAAATATTTATTTAAATATTTAAATAAATAGATTATATAAATAATACAAATATTTATTTTAATATTTAAATAAATAGATTAATTTATTTAAATATTTAAATAAATAAATGTATAAATAATATAAATATTTATTTTAATATTTAAATAAATAGATTATATAAATAATATAAAATAAAATGCCCATTGATTGAATCCTCTCATTTTCTGGGGACATTTCCTTCATGGTCTGGCCCAAGCCATGCAATTGCTTCCCTTCCTGGCCTGGCAGCAGGATTTTTGGGACTGGATGTGGAATGCCAGGGGGCAAAGGGAATTTCTGCCAATCCAACGCCCAGCTGAGGACAGACAGACTGGTCAGTGGGGAAATCTCTGCCCAGCCCTGAAAGGGTCACTCTGGGGACATTTTCGTTCATTAGGCTCAGCTTTGGTGGCACTTCTGTTCAGCAGATTCAGGTTTGGTGACATTTTTGTTCAGCAGTTTCAGGTTTGGTGACATTTTTGTTCAGCAGCTTCAGCTTTGGTGACATTTTTGTTCAGTAGTTTCAGGTTTGGTGACATTTTTGCTCATTAAATTCAGGTTTGGTGCCATTTTTGTTCAGTAGTTTGAGATTTGGTGACATTTTGGTTCATCGGGCTCAGGCTTGGTGCCATTTTTGTTCAACAAGCTCAGGTTTGGTGACATTTTCATTCATTAGGCTCAGGTTTGGTGCCATTTTCACTCAGTAGTTTCAGGTTTGGTGCCATTTTCTTCCAATAGGCTCAGGCTTGGTGCCATTTTCCCTCAGTAAGCTCAGCTTTGGTGCCATTTTCACTCAATAAGCTCAGTTTTGGTGCCATTTTCCCTCAGTAAGCTCAGCTTTGGTGCCATTTTCCCTCAATAACCTCAGTTGTGGTGCCATTTTCCCTCAATAAGCTCAGGTTTGGTGCCATTTTCCCTCAATAAGCTCAGTTTTGGTGCCATTTTCCCTCAATAAGCTCAGCTTTGGTGCCATTTTCCCTCAATAGGCTCAGTTTTGGTGCCATTTTCCCTCAATAAGCTCAGGTTTGGTGCCATTTTCCTTCAGTAGGCTCAGCTTTGGTGCCATTTTTGCTCAATAGGCTCAGTTTTGGTGCCATTTTCACTCAGTAAACTCAGTTTTGATGCCATTTTCCCTCAATAAGCTCAGTTTTGGTGCCATTTTCCCTCAGTAGGCTCAGCTTTGGTGCCATTTTCCCTCAGTAGGCTCAGGTTTGGTGCCATTTTCCCTCAATAGGCTCAGTTTTGGTGCCATTTTCCCTCAGTAAGCTCAGTTTTGGTGCCATTTTCCCTCAATAACCTCAGCTTTGATGCCATTTTCACTCAGTAAGCTCAGTTTTGGTGCCATTTTCCCTCAATAAGCTCAGCTTTGGTGCCATTTTTGCTCAATAAGCTCAGTTTTGGTGCCATTTTCACTCAGTAACCTCAGCTTTGGTGCCATTTTCCCTCAATAAGCTCAGTTTTGGTGCCATTTTCACTCAGTAAGCTCAGTTTTCGTGCCATTTTCACTCAATAAGCTCAGCTTTGGTGCCATTTTCCCTCAGTAGGCTCAGCTTTGGTGCCATTTTGGTTCAGTTCTGGTGGAGCTTTGGGCCCATTCCTTGCACAGCTCCTGCCATTCTCATTTCTCCTGAATTTCCTGCTCCTTTGCAGAGCCAAGGATTGCCTTAAAGCCATCATGAAGAGGATGAATCACAAAGTTCCCCACGTGGCTTTGCAGGCTCTCACAGTGAGTAAATTCCCAAATCCCCCAAAAACCTCAATAATGCAGCAATTAAACATTTACTGATCAATTCATTCATGCCTTGATTAACCTCAGTAAATCAGTGTCCCTGCTGGATTTACCTTTTATTTTGGATTTTTTGGATTGTGGATTATTTGCACTCTTTTCTCATTTGCATTTTTCTTTCTTATTTTGGATTATTTCCACTCTTTTTTTTAAATTTACACTTTTTCCCTTATTTTGGATTATTTGCACTCTTTTTTAAATTTGCACCTTTTTTTTTCTTATTTTGGAATATTTGCAGTCTTTTTTTTTAATTTACACTTTTTTCCTTTAGTTTGGATTATTTGCACTTTTTTTAATTGCAGTTTTATTTCCTTTTTTTGGTTTATTTGCACTCTTTATTTTTCACTTTTTTCCTTTATTTTGGATTATTTGCACTCTTTAAATTTGCACTTTTTTCCCCTTATTTTGGATTATTTGCACTCTTTAAATTTACACTTTTTTCCCCTTGTTTTGGATTATTTGCACTCTTTTTTATTTTAACTTTAAAAATTTTTTTACTATTTCCACTCATTTTTTTAATTTGCACTTTTTTTTCTTTATTTTTGATTATTTGCACTTTTTTAATTTGTATTTTTTCCCTTATTTTGGATTATTTGCACTTTTTTAATTGCAGTTTTATTTCCTTTTTTTTTGATTTACTTGCACTCTTTATTTTTCACTTTTTTCCTGATTTTGGATTATTTGCACTCTTTTTTATTTTCACTTTTTTTCTTATTTTGGAGTATTTGCACTCTTTAAATTTGCATTTTTTCCCTTATTTTGGATTATTTGCACTCTTTTTTTTATTTTAATTTTTAAAAATTTTTCATTATTTCCATTTTTTTAATTTGCACTTTTTTCTTTATTTTTTTATTATTTGCACTCTTATTTTTTTACACTTTTCTAATTTTGGATTATTTGTAGTATTTTTTATTTGCACTTTTTTTCTTACTTTGGATTATTTGCACTTTTTTTAATTTGTACTTTTTTCCCTTATTTTGGATTATTTGCACTTTTTTTAATTGCAGTTTCTTTTCCTTTTTTGGTTTATTTGCAGTCTTTATTTTTCACTTTTTTCCTTTATTTTGGATTATTTGCACTCTTTTTAAAATTGGCTGCTTTTTTTCTTATTTTGGATTATTTGCACTCTTTTTTAAATTTGCACCTTTTTTTCTTATTTTGGATTATTTGCACTCTTTTATTTTCACTTCAAAATTTTGGATTATTTGCACTCTTTATTTGCACTATTTTCCTTTATTTTGGATTATTTGCACTCTTTTTTTAGTTTCACTTTTTTCATGATTTTGAATTATTTGAACTCTTTTTTTAAATTTGCACTTTTTTTCTTACTTTTGATTATTTGCTTTTTTTTTAATTGCAATTTCTTTTCCTTTTTTTGGTTTATTTGCACTCTTTATTTTTCACTTTTTTCCTGATTTTGGATTATTTGCACTTGTTTTTACATTTGCACCTTTTTTTCTTTATTTTGGATTATTTGCACTCTTTTTAATTCACACCTTTTTTCCTTTAGTTTGGATTATTTGCACTCTTTTTAGTTTGCACTTTTCTTTATTTTGGATTATTTACACTCTTATTTACACTTTTTTCTTTATTATTATTATTATTTGCACTCTTTGTTATTTGCACCTGTCCCCCTTTATTCTGGATTATTTGCACTCATTTTTATTTTCACTTTTCCCCCTTTATTTTGGATTATTTGCACTCATTTTTATTTTCACTTTTCCCCCTTTATTTTGGATTATTTGCACTCATTTTTATTTTCACTTTTCCCCCTTTATTTTGGATTATTTGCACTCTTTTTTTCAATTTGCTTCTTTCCTTCTTCCTCTTTTGGATTATTTGCACTCTTTATTTGCACTTTTTCTATTTTGGATTATTTGTACTTTTTTTTTGCCCTGCATTTTCCCAATTGTCTTTCTGCTGGCAGCTTTTAGGAGCCTGTGTGTCCAACTGTGGCAAGATATTCCATTTGGAAGTGTGTTCCAGGGATTTTGCCACTGAAGCTCGAGCTATAATAAACAAGGTAAATTGGTTTAGAACCTGCAGTCCTGGGGGAAAGATGATTTTGGTAACTTCTCCAAATTAATGTTGTGGTTAATGCACATTTTTCTATGTTTTCACTGAAATTTGTGTCATTTTTACTCTGAAAAAATAATCTGTTAAAGAGCTGACAGCTGATAATCCTTCACACTTTTACAAAATTATATGAGCACTTTTAATTAAAATCCTAAGCTCCATTAATTTGATCATGATGAGTGCAGCTTTTCTTGAGGAGAGTTTTTATTGAGCTTGAAGGGAATTCCTGGGCTGGAGTGAAAGGGAAAATGATGAGGAAGTGCAGTGACATTTGTACAAGGGAAAGGATGAAGTTACAGACAGTATTTTTAATTTTTAGAGAATCTGGGAATGTTGAATGAGAAAATAACCAAGAAAAGGAGACTGAAATGGTTGGGCTCAAGCAGCTGCTGGGCTCTAAATGTGGCTGTGAGGAATTGAGTAAGCAGGAGCAGCTTTTCCCTAATTACTGCTCCAGTTGCAGACAAAACTGGTTAATGGGTTAAAAAGGAGTTTTCAGATCCCTGCAATCATCAGAGGCTGAGCAAAGCAATTAAGGAAAGTAATAAAATTGCTGGGAAGCAAAATGAGTTCACAGCTCTCGTGTTTCTGGCTTTTGTGGAAAAATAGGTCTGCAAGTGCTGCCTGTGTTCCCATTAGCCAGGCTCCATCCTGGGGCTCCACTGACCTGCAGCACCCAGGGATGGGCAGGGATCCACCCAGGGATGGGCAGGGATGCTGGGATCCACCCAGGGATGGGCAGGGACCCTGGGATGGGCAGGGATCCTGGGATCCACCCAGGGATGGGCAGGGACCCTGGGATCCACCCAGGGATGGGCAGGAGTGCTGGGATCCCAGTCAGGGATGGGCAGGGATCCTGGGATCCACCCAGGGATGGGCAGGGATCCACCCAGGGATGGGCAGGGATGCTGGGATCCACCCAGGGATGGGCAGGAGTGCTGGAATCCCACCCAGGGATGGGCAGGGACCCTGGAGTGCTGGGATCCACCCAGGGATGGGCAGGGACCCTGGGATCTTGGGATCCACCCAGGGATGGGCAGGGATCCTGGAATCCTGGGATCCACCCAGGGATGGGCAGGGATCCTGGGATGGGCAGGGATCCTGGGATCCACCCAGGGATGGGCAGGGATCCTGGGATCCACCCAGGGATGGGCAGGGATCCTGGGATCCACCCAGGGATGGGCAGGAATCCTGGAATCCACCCAGGGATGGGCAGGGATCCAGGGATGGGCAGGGATCCTGGAATCCACCCAGGGATGGGTTCTGGACCACGATTTCTGTGTTCTTGGGAAATAGTGACCCCTTACCCCCAGCCCTGGCCCCCTTGGAGGAATAATGAATAAAATTGGGCTTTTTCCCTCTTTTCCATGAGAAAATGGGTTCAGCCAAACGTGACAAATGTCTTTGTGGTGCTCCTGAGCCCAGCAAAGTTCCTGGTTCAGAAATGCAGTTTGGAGGCCAAAGCTGGCAGTGCCCTCCCTGCTCAGCCCGTGCTGGGCTCACAGCCCTGGGTGGGATCTGATTCCTTGGGCTGGGAGCCTTGTCCCAGTGCCAGGATCTGGGGCAGCCACAGGAATTCCTGGCAGAGCATGAATGGATCTTGGTTTGCCCCCACTCCAAGCAAATCATCTTTTACCAGCAGCTCAGCTCCACTTTGGGAATAAAAACTGTCCCTAAAGATTGTCCCCGTGGATACTCCATTTTTGTAGGAGAAGCTGGTTCAAGGAGACAAAGATCAGGGGTTTGTGATGTTCTCTCAGCTGGAACAAAGCTGTCCTGGCATCTGAGGAGAAACTGCAGAGGCCACAAAAGGGGGATTGGAGGCAAAGATTTCTTGGAGGAGTTCTTGTAAGGAAAGATTTCTTGGAGGGAAGGATTTCTTGGAGGATTTCTTGGAGGGAAAGATTTATTGGAGGATTTCTTGGAGGGAAAGATTTCTTGGAAGAGTTCTTGTAGGGAAAGATTTCTTGGAGAGAAAGATTTCTTGGAGGAGTTCTTGTAGGGAAGGATTTCTTGGAGAGAAAGATTTCTTGGAGGATTTCTTGGAGGGAAGGATTTCTTGGAGGATTTCTTGGAGGGAAGGATTTCTTGTAGGGAAGGATTTCTTGGAGGAGTTCTTGTAGGGAAATATTTACTGGAGGATTTCTTGTAGGGAAGGATTTCTTGGAGGAGTTCTTGGAAGATTTCTTCCAGGGAAAGATTTCTTGGAGGATTTCTTGAAGGGAAAGACAGTAGCTTATATCAGACTTACATCCTTCTCAGTAGCTTATATCAGACTTAGATCCTTCTCAAGTGTGTTGTTTTCCACTTGGGAAGTGGAAAACAGCACACTTGAGAAGGAATGAAGAGAAAATTGAGGTTAAATGGAGGGTGAGTAACACAGAGAGGCAGAAATTTGGGGAAAGTGTGGTAGGCAGCCTGAATTTCTCTAGAATTAGTACTCCAGGAGCTCAGCTTGTTCTCTGGAATATCAGATCAGGGTACAAAAGGTCAGGAATTCTACACTCTGCTCCCCAAATCTTCTCAATCTACACAATTATTAATAATTAAGCATATTTATAGTGAAATGGCTTTGGTAACCATTTTGGTAACGGCTCCTCCTGTTCATTTTGAGGCTCAGACATCCCTTTTTGTCCAATTTTGTTCTTCCAGGCTCACCCAAAAGTGAGTGAAAAGCTAAAAACCCTCATGGTGGAGTGGTCAGAGGAATTCCAGAAAGACCCACAATGCAGTTTAATATCTGCAACCATCAAATCCCTGAAGGAAGAAGGGGTCACCTTCCCTGCAGCAGGATCCCAGGTGAGAGCTGCTGTGGGACAGGGATGGGTGCCAGGCCCTGGTGCCCTGCCCCAAATCCCCTTTTCCTCTTTGTCCCAGCAGTTGTCCTGGGTTTGGAGTGGTTTCTTTTTCACTTCTGCTGGTTTGTTGTGCCCAGTCTAACAGCAGATATGATGCCAGGTGTTTTTTTTCCTGACTTCTGTTACTGATACTTCTAAATATTTCCACATTATTCAGTCCTGAAAATCAAAATGACAATTTTTATTACCATATCCTTACACAAAGTTTACTTCCCTCTCTATGAAACACAGAGGGTTTTTAACTTTTACAAACACTGTGAGTTTTTTAACTTTTACAATCCCTCCTCCCTCCACAAAGATGTTTTCACTTCTAAATCTGATCTATGTGTAAAACATATGGCAGGAACATGGAAGAGTTGAGCACTGGCACCCAATTCCAGTTCCTGGTGGGAATGAAAACTCCAGGAATGATTTCACTGTGCTGCTGGGGAGAGTTGTAGGATTTAAGTCAGCAGCTCCCAACTGGAGCATCTTCTCTCTTGAAGGGAGTATAAAAGTGGAAAGAGTCATTTAAATGAGTAGTCTCACTGTAAGAAATATGACTGAAATAATTATGTCAATAAAATCAGTTATTTCAATTAAATCTCAGTATTTCTTTTACTTTTTTTCCCTGCTGAAAACAGAAACAAGCCTGAAGGGTGGTGTTTTTTATTTCTTGGAGATCACCTGGATTCCATAATCCACCTGGTCAGGAACAACTCGCTGCTAATTTTTAAAAATACCAAATTGTGGAGATGTCATTGTCATTTGTCCCTCTGTTGTTCCCACCTCTGCAGGCTTCCACCAGTGCTGCTAAGAATGGCTCCTCATCCAGTAAATCCAAAGAAGATGAGGATATAGCTAAAGGTGAGTTGCTGTCTCAGCCCTGGCTTGGACCCCAGGAGTTTGGTTAAAAAGCAGGGAAATGGGAATTTGGGCTCTTTCCTGATTTCATTGAAATCAATGCCACAGCAGGTTGGGAATTGTGGCATTCCAGGTGTTGCCCTCATCCATGGGGATGTGGGGTAAGACACATTCCTCTCCATCACACAGCATTTTAAATGTTAACTTCAACACTACAGAAGCAGATGCAGGCCTTGTTTAAATAAAGCCAGAAATCCTGTTTTGATTAAATCAAGAAATCCAACTGCTTTGTCTCCAGGCATAAACCCCTCAAACCTGTTCTCTTCCTCTCTGCCCCACCTGCAGCTATTGAATTGTCTTTGCAAGAGCAGAAGCAGCAGCAGCAAATGGAGACCAAGTCCTTGTACCCACCTGCAGAAATGCCACAAAACCCCCAGAGCCTGAGGAAGGTGCGAGCTCTGTATGACTTTGAAGCTGTCGAGGACAATGAGCTCACCTTTAAAAGTGGAGAAATTATTTTTGTTTTGGATGACAGGTACAATACACTCAGGTGGAGCTGACTTTGTTCCACCACTCTTGTTTCTCTCAGGGTAGCACATTTTTCCTCTGATGCTTTTTCTCCCCCCACAGAAGTGTCATTGTCACTTTGCCCTCCCTCACATCCCTTTCTCTTCCTTTTATCTCTCCAAATTCTTAGTTTCTGACCTCAAATCTTTTTTAGTGCAGGGAGAACCTCGAGTATTTCATCCAGTTTGTAGTTTGGAAGATAAATCTTAGTTGGTTGTCTGGCATAAGGAAATGCACTGGCATCACATTCCATCTGCTTCCAGCAGCTGTTAAACCTCTGGCTAGCAAGAATCAGATTTGCCAAGAATAAAACTGATTAAAAATAGCTAAAATAATGATTGTTGTTAACACCTCTAGGGATATATACAGCTTTAAAGGGCTGGCAAGTAATCAATACAAAGATTTGATGGATTGTGTTCACTTTTCAGTGATCCCCTGACTCCTCTTCCTCCCTTCCCTCCCCTGTGCCCCAGCTCCTGTTTGGCTTTGTGCTAATCCCTGCAAGTTCTCTTTTAGATATCACAGGGTTTTGGTACAAAAACCACCAAATATGTCTCTGTACCTCAGATTTTCAGTCAAACCCCCAACTATATCCCTGGCTGTGCTGCCCCCTGAGTTGTGTAACCCTTCTTTGTTTCCCCAGTGATGCCAACTGGTGGAAGGGGGAGAACCACAGAGGAGTGGGGCTGTTCCCATCCAATTTCGTCACCTCTGACTTGTCCGTGGAGCCCGAGGCAGGTGAGTTCCCTGCTGAAATGATGGCTGGGTCCTTGCACAAAGGCAGCTTTGTGCTGCAATCCCAATTAGCCCAGCAGCAAAATAATCTCCTCTATCAGCCCCAGGAAAGGATTGAGAGACATCCTGCCCTTGTTTCAAACAATCAAGCACAGATCACTCCTCGACTCCCCTTAATTTCTGTCTCTGTTTCTCTTTTAAGTCATTACCGTTTTCTGTGACAGAAATTTGGTTCGATTCACCATAATTCCTTGTCAGCAACATATTTACAAATCCAACAAATTGCCATTTCAAATGTCACAGTGTCTTTTCACACAGAAAAATAACAAGGAGCAAATGTTTGTTTGAAGTTATCGCAGCAACAGAGAGAAAAGAAACTCATCTCTGTTCTTCCAGCAGCTGTGGATAAAATCTCTGTTCCTGAGGACACTGCAGAAGAAATTAAGAAAGCAGAACCTGAGCCAGTTTATATTGATGAGGTATGAAGCCACTTGAAAATAAAATATTGCTGGGCTTTTGCATTCTTTCGGTGCTGAATGTTGGCAGGTGATTCTTTGTCTATAAAGAACTTTTATTTGGATATTAAACCAATCTTGGCATGGCTGGGAAATCAGAGTTCTTCATCTTGGCTTCCCCTTTCAGGAGAAGATGGATAAAACACTGCAGGTACTTCAGAGCATAGATCCCACGGATTTAAAGCTGGATTCTCCAGATCTTCTCAACTCAGAAGGTACTTGCAGCACTAAATGAGCTCTTTTTTATGGCTTCTTCTCACAATTACCTTTTGTGGATTGAGCTGGGAGTTCTTTGTGTTTATTTTAAGCTTAGGGGAGCTGTGCTCTGTACTAACAGTGCTGGAGAACACTTATTTCACCGTGGGAGTGTGGGGCTCTGGGGATAATTTGAATTTTTTTAATAGTTCCAAGCCAGCTCCACGTTTAGCAGAGTCATTTGCATAACTCCCAGCTCTGTAAAATGCCTGAGCTTTGCAAGATCCATCTACCAGTCCCAACCCTGAAATAAATAAGAAATTAATTTTACTGTAGTTGGATAAAATATTTCTGGCTGCATTTAAACATTTAATTGTGCAAGACACCAACTGCCTCACCACTTTGTCTTCACAGATATCTGCCAACAGATGGGTCCAATGATAGATGAAAAACTAGAAGAGATAGATAGGTGAGCACAATTTATTCACTCATCTCCTTCACATTGGGCAGGTTTAATGAGATTTCTTTGGTACTTTCATCTCCTGAGTTAGAAAACCTCACAAGAAAAATTCACCAACTTTATTTTGGAATGCTGAAATATCCAGTTCTGAGTGTGTGCACTGAGATTTGATTGCTGCTCTCCCAAAATTCCCTGCACAGGTCACGGATGCTTTTTACTTTGGCATTTTGTGACTGTAGCCTTGTCCAGGCTGTCCAGAGGTTGGAATTTTCAGCCTGTGATTCTGTTGGGGATTATTCCAGGTTTTCCTCACCTCTCCCTCCTCAGCTTTGGCTGCCCAGTACCTGAAGGGGCTCCAGGAGAGCTGGAGAGGGACTGGGGACAAGGGATGGAGGGACAGGAGCCAGGGAATGGCTGCCAGTGCCAGAGGGCAGGGATGGATGGGACATTGGGAATTGGGAATTCCTGGCTGGGCTGGGATTGCCAGAGCAGCTGGGGCTGCCCCTGGAAATGTCCCAGGCCAGGCTGGAGCAGCCTGGGATAGTGAGAGGTGCCCATGGCAGAAGGGTGGAATGAAACCTTGTAAGGTCTCTTCCAACCCAAACCACTCCATGATTCTGTGACTCCTGAGGAAATTTGAGGGTGGAAAGAGCAGGGAATTCCACCTGGGAATTGCTGGTTTGGTGCCAGAAATGGTTGTACAGCTCTTGGATTTTCCTTCCAGTCACACAACAGCAATTTTTCAATATTAATAGGTTAGAAAATGACCTTTTACCTTTCAGGGGCTTATTTTTCTTGCATATTTCATGCAGCACTGGCCTTTCCTCCCCATGTAAGATGCCCCAGCAGCTCAGTGCCCTCTCCATTTGCTTTGGAACAGGAAACATTCCGAGTTATCCGAGCTGAACGTGAAGGTTCTGGAAGCTCTGGAGCTCTACAACAAACTGATGAACGAGAGCCCCATGTACTCAGCCTACTCCAAACTCCAGCACCCTGCACAATTCCCACCCACCTCCTCTGGAGTCTCTGTGCAGGTCAGTATCCCTGGGGTCTGGAAATTCCATGGGATCTGGAAATTCCCTGGGATCTGGCAATTCCCTGCTGCTTATCCCTGGTTCAAAAAAATCACAGCAAAACCCAAAGGGAGCCCACGAGCAATCTGACATTACCTTTGCAGGAGATGGGGATTTATGCACTAGAACAGAAGGTTTTGCTTGGCCACTGTTGAGAATTCCAGCAGATCCCTTCCATAATTCATTTCTTGCAGTTGGGATTGGGTGTTGCAGCAGCCTGCTGGGTATTCTTGCTGTGAGTCATGTCAATCTCCAAGTAAAATGTTCCCTTCTTATCTAATGGTGGGGATGGGAGGGAACTGGAATATCAGTGTATTAATCCCAAGTGTATTTTTTGCTAAATATAGAAACACTCTGCTTTTAGCTCCTTTTGCCCTTAGAAAAATGAACATTTTGTATCAGTTCTAAACATGTGCTATTTGTGCTCCAAACTGTTTTACACTGTCCCTAATGATGGCTTCAGGAATAAACGTGGAGGGGAAGGAGAGATTTTCAAAAAGCACAGAATGAGGGTTTTTACTTGAAATGAATTTTACTTTCATGTTAATTGTTCAGTGGGAAAAGAATAGTTGCCATGGCAACTGCTAGATCTGAAAATATGTCAGTTAAAAGTAATTCCGTGTCCTTAACTCCAGTAACGATGGAAAATTCATTATATTTGGAGGTTACAAAGTAATTTAAGCCAAAAGGCAACTGGAGTTTGCTGTTTCCTCCCAAGACCAGTGCCTAGAAATGCAGGATAATGCTGGGCTTTATTTGGGACAAACCTATTTATCCCAAATCCAACCCCCACCAGCAGCTCCAGCCCCGTGCCACCTGAATTTGGAGGGAATCTTGCATTATTTAAACCAGAACTGGCAGCGAGTGCAGGTTTTGCTTCCAGCTGTAGAATATTCTGGTGGATTCAATCCAAAGCGTGCTGAGCACCAAATCTGCTGGCTTTGATTTGCTTTGCAGTCGTATCCTGTGCAGCCTCCCAGTGGGAATTACATGATCCAGGGGGTGTCCATGTCCCCAGGGTACAGCCTGGCCCCGGAGCAGGTGAGGTCTCTGCCTCAGAGCATCAACTCTGCAGCCACTCAGCCACCTCCAGCTGCTTATTTAAGGTATGGATCCAGCAAATCCTTCTTTCTGGGGGGAATTTTGCCACTTTGCACGTTCTCGTGGCGTTTACATTTAGTGACACATCATTTTTGAGAGGAAAATACCAATTTTAGTCAACCAGGGAGCAATGAGAGCATTATTCTGGGTAAAACTGATCCTGCACAAGGAGGTTTCCCAGGAAGGTTTGAAGAGGGAAAGGTTGAGAAGGAACCTCTGACCTTGGCTTTAAGCACCCAGCGCCAAAGATTGAAGATTAAACAGTAGGAGTAAGTTCAAGAGTAAGTAAGTTGAAGAGCAAGAGTAAGTAAGTTGAAAAGCAAGAGTAAGTTGAAGAGCAAGAGTAAGTAAGTTGAAGAGCAAGAGTAAGTTGAAGAGCAAGAGTAAGTAAGTTGAAGAGCAAGAGTAAGTAAGTTGAAGAGCAAGAGTAAAAGTTATGTATTAGAATTACTGAGCTGCTGAAAGAATTTTGAGGGTGAAAATGTTTCTTAGTGCAAGAACTATAAAAGCTGCCACGTTAGAGGCATAAAAAGTATGGAATTCCTGGGAAACTCTGTTTGTTAACATGGAGGAGTAACAGGAGGGAAAATGCAAGGCCAGAGCTGATTGAAGTTGAGAGTGTGCATGTAAAAAACCGTATTTTTGCAGCCGGCAAAACACGAAATTGCTTCCAAGATGAGCCTTTTGGTCAAATGTGCATGTTTAGGAGGCTCCCAGCTTGTTTTGGGAGTGCCCTGGGTGCTGTGGTGCTGTCCCTGTGAGCGTGGCTGGTGTTGTGTCCCCGCAGCCCCGAGCCCGCGCTGCCGCAGCCCTTCCCGAGTGTCCCGAGTGTCACCGGCGCCGCCGCCGCCTTCCCCCAGCACCAGATGGGCGTGCCCGTGGATGTGGCAGCATTCCAGAGCAACCAAGGACCAGCTTATCCCGTGGCACTTCCTGCTCATTCCCTGCTCCAGCAGCAGCCAAATTTCCATCAGCAGCCTCTGCTGTGAACAGCTGGGACAGAGGAGCTCCGAGCTTGGCGGTCTTTGGGAGTCCCTGCCGTGGATATCAAAGTCCATCTTCCTCTCAGAGAGCCCAACTCGCTGCGTTAGGCTGGTGCAGAGTAAAAATAGGCACCAGCTCTGATGGTTATTTGCATTTCTGCATCCTGAACTAGATTAGGGGATGGTTTAAAATAATTCCCCGTTCCTCCGAGTCCCTTTTTTTTTTCTCTTTCCCTGCGCTTTCAGGAGACGTCACTTGTGAATCTTTGAAAGATTGTCCCAAAATAATTCTCTTTGCAATGTGTTTCTGGAAGCTTGAGGATGCTGAGATGCTGTTGCTTTGCCTCCTCTGGTGTCTTCTGTAATCCTTCTGTCCCAGTGGCTTTAGGGAGTCCCCTTCCTGAAGGACGCGCCGCGCAATCCAAGGGGTCCCTGTCTCCAGCTGGAAGAGGAAACTCTGCCCCTCAGGACCACATCCCTGTGGAAACAGGAGGAAAAGAGGGGCTTGACAGTGCTGCCTGTGTGTTTTGGAAAACACAGAGAATTGCTGTGTTTTTTCTTGAGGAAAACACGTTTTCCTCCAATTCCCCGGTGTCTTGGCAGAGGTGGCGCTGCCAGCACGAGGCTCCTTGGGAAGAGCAGGCAGGGGATGCTCCAGGTGGATCCAAGGTGTTGAGCTAGGAACTCACAGCATCTCTCTTCAGGTTTCCTTTCTGGATGGATGTAGAAGTGAAGGAGCATTGGAATTGCTTGTGGGAAAGGAGGGGCTGGAGAATGCTGGAAGCTGCTGAAGCCTCTGAGGATCTGTTCCCTTTGCAGGGGGAGCTGAGTGGAACAGGAACCGCCCTGATGGGACCAGGGGGTTCTGCCTCTCTTGGGTTTCCTTTCTGTGCCCCTGTGTCCGTGTCTCACCCAGCCCTGAGCCCAGAGGAGCTCCTGCACCACTGGGAAAGGGGGATCTGAGGCCATCCCACGTGCTGGGGGTGGGATTGGGCTCCTGTGCACAGGAAATCCAGAGCCTTTCCCTGGAGGAGGGATTGCCTCAGAACTGGCCACGAGTGGCAGCTGGGGAGAAAAGGAATCCAAGAATTTCTTCCCTGATGCACTTTTTGAAGGGTGGGGTTTGTCCAAGGGAGCACATGGGCTGGATTATCCTTGGGGAATGTGGGAATCCCTTCTTTTTCTTGTTTCAACTGCTGAACAAAAAAATCACTTCATCCTCCTATTTACCTCCTCACTGGAGCATGGTCACATTTATCCTGCTTTTAACCACCTCTGCTGAGTGATAATCCTTGGTTTGGGGAAATAATGGAAGCAAATTTCTGATAAAAATAACTCCATTAAACGCAGGAAGCTCCCAGATGTCTAAATAAGCATTTTTGATGTATAAACTTCATCCCAGATTGGAACTCCCAGGCTGCTGAGTGACAAAACCCACCCTCCACTCAGCACCTCCTTTTATTTCATTATTTGCTATCTTGACCTTACACTTGCAGCCTTGTGCCCATGCAAAAAGTGCTCTTTAAATCACTTTTTATTTAAATGTGTGCAATTGGAAGGAGGATTTTGTCTTTCCTTTGGACGTGACTTTAATTTGTCTTGATCCTTCCCCTGGAAGTGGCTCAGTACAAATAACACACGTGGCAATACTGAAGTGTTTTGATAACTTGTTCCTTGTGTCTTTTGAGGAAATGAATTTATTTCAATGCTGCTGTTCCAAATTCTCATTGTTTGGAGCTTTTATTTGTCAGAGTTTACTTTGTTCCAAGTTGGTTTGGGGTAGAACTAAACCTTGCTCTTGTTGCTATCAATTCTCCATGTTTGTTAGGAAATTGAAATTGGTGTTTTTTCTGGATTCTGAGCTTTGGGCCAAGAGAAGTCTTCAATTGAGCCAGCCAGATGTGATTTGATGATGTTAATTGTTAAGTATAAATAATGTATATACTCATTTGTCTGAGATTTTCTACACAGCTCCACACATGCCTGAACTTTTATAAAAGCAGGATTTGTCCTTCTGTCACCTCTTCTACTCCTAACTCTGTGATATGCAACTTGTAGATAGTGTAAAATAATTTAATTATTATTAAACCAGTGTATTTAGAGGGGGTTGGTGTTTCTCTTCATACTTCTAGACATGATCATATTTATTTTTAAGGCCTGATTGTAACTGAACATGCTGCCAAAGGATTTCTCTAACTCCAGATTTCTACCTTAGGTTTCTACCTGCTGTTTTCTATCAGGAATTCAGGGTGGAGAACTCCTGCTTTTTCATATAAACCCTTAACATAGGAACCTTTCTAATGAGACTTTCCAGGTGGTGTATTTGTCTCATGGGTGTTAAGTGTCACTATGAGATCCATTTCCTTTGGTGTGAGCTGGGGACCTGTTGTGTCTGTTCAATTTGTCACCCCAGAGTGCTCTGAGGGCTCGTGCTCTGTCCCCTGATGTCAGCCACGCTTTGTCTCTCCAATTGGCTCCAGAAATAATGGTAAAAATCCGATTATTGAAACCTCCCACGTGCTCTTGTGTGTTCTTTGTGCTGCAGGGTTTGGTGGGGATGGCCCTGGGCTTGTGGCACTCTGTCCCTCCATGCTGTGGCCTCTCTCAGGGATCATTTCCTGAGAAAAGGATGATTTTCTTCCCTTATTTTTATCTGTGCATCTTTTCTAAGACCTCCCAGGCACTGCCCCTGCTTGCACTGAGAGCTCTCTGTGGGATGAGCAACAAACACACCCAGGAGCATTCCCTGCTCAGAGAGTGAGGGAGTCCTGAGTCCTGTGACCGTGCCTGAGAATTCTGTTCATCCCTGGCAATCAGGGTGAATCCCTGGGCTTTGGTCCTGCTGCTGAGGCCCTGCATGGACACCAAAAACCCTGAGAATTCTGTTCATCCCACACAATCAGGGTGAATCCCTGGGCTCTGATCCTGCTGCTGAGGCTGTGCATGGAGACCAAAACCCCTGAGAATTCTGTTCATCCCAATCAGGGTGAATCCCTGGGCTCTGATCCTGCTGCTGAGGCTGTGCATGGACACCAAAAACCCCTGAGAATTCTGTTCATCCCACACAATCAGGGTGAATCCCTGGGCATTGGTCCTGCTGCTGAGGCTGTGCATGGACACCAAAAACCCCTGAGAATTCTGTTCATCCCAATCAGGGTGAATCCCTGGGCTTTGGTCCTGCTGCTGAGGCTGTGCATGGACACCAAAAACCCCTGAGAATTCTGTTCATCCCACACAATCAGGGTGAATCCCTGGGCTTTGATCCTACTGCTGAGGCTGTGCATGGACACCAAAAACCCCTGAGAATTCTGTTCATCCCACACAATCAGGGTGAATCCCTGGGCATTGATCCTACTGCTGAGGCTGTGCATGGACACCAAAAACCCCTGAGAATTCTGTTCATCCCACACAATCAGGGTGAATCCCTGGGCTCTGATCCTGCTGCTGAGGCCCTGCATGGAGACACCAAAAACCCCTGAGAATTCTGTTCATCCCACACAATCAGGGTGAATCCCTGGGCTTTGGTCCTCCTGCTGAGGCCCTGCATGGACACCAAAAACCCCTGAGAATTCTGTTCATCCCACACAATCAGGGTGAATCCCTGGGCTCTGATCCTGCTGCTGAGGCTGTGCATGGAGACACCAAAAACCCCTGAGAATTCTGTTCATCCCACACAATCAGGGTGAATGCCTGGGCTTTGGTCCTGCTGCTGAGGCTGTGCATGGACACCAAAACCCCTGAGAATTCTGTTCATCCCACACAATCAGGGTGAATCCCTGGGCTTTAACCCTGCTGCTGAGGCTGTGCATGGACACCAAAACCACCTGCAAAGAGCCCCAAAAATTGTCATTTACACATCAATCACTGGTTTTCATCCTTTTTTTATAGCCCTTAGGAGCTTCTGACCCCAGTGGGTTGATTTAGGGTCACTTCAGGCTGGAAGTCAACCTTTAAAAAGCCAGATCATATCCTGAATTATTGGGAAATGCTGGCTTGTTTTCCCTTCTGAATCCCAGCCTGATCCATGAGGTCTCTGGAGAGAATCTTTCCCTGGGAAATCAGCCAGTCCATGGTCAATGTTTCAACAGAAGTGCCTTCCTAGGACCAATTGAGTGATGAAACTGAATGTAGAAATAATCTCATTTAGACCACAGCCTCGGTGACCCACATTCACCTCAGACACAGAAACCAGCCAAGGAATGGAAGGATTTGGTGTCTGGAGTGACACAGGAGGACACTGGCAGGGCTGGCTGTGCTCAGAGTGTGCAGGTGTGAGTGAGGATGTGCACACTGCTGCTCCTGCTCATCCCAGTGTCAGTGTCAGTGAGGATGTGCACACTGCTGCTCCTGCTCACCCCAGTGTGAGGGTGTGCACACTGCTGCTCCTGCTCACCCCAGTGTGAGGGTGTGCACACTGCTGCTCCTGCTCATCCCAGTGTCAGTGAGGGTGTGCACACTGCTGCTCCTGCTCACCCCAGTGTGAGGGTGTGCACACTGCTGCTCCTGCTCACCCCAGTGCAGTGAGGATGTGCACACTGCTGCTCCTGCTCATCCCAGTGTCAGTGAGGGTGTGCACACTGCTGCTCCTGCTCATCCCAGTGTGAGTGAGGATGTGCACACTGCTGCTCCTGCTCATCCCAGTGCAGTGAGGATGTGCACACTGCTGCTCCTGCTCATCCCAGTGTGAGTGCAGTGAGGATGTGCACACTGCTGCTCCTGCTCATCCCAGTGTGAGTGCAGTGAGGATGTGCACACTGCTGCTCCTGCTCATCCCAGTGCAGTGAGGGTGTGCACACTGCTGCTCCTGCTCATCCCAGTGTGAGTGAGGGTGTGCACACTGCTGCTCCTGCTCATCCAGTGTCAGTGAGGGTGTGCACACTGCTGCTCCTGCTCATCCCAGTGTCAGGGTGTGCACACTGCTGCTCCTGCTCATCCAGTGTCAGGGTGTGCACACTGCTGCTCCTGCTCATCCCAGTGCAGTGAGGGTGTGCACACTGCTGCTCCTGCTCATCCAGTGTCAGGGTGTGCACACTGCTGCTCCTGCTCATCCCAGTGCAGTGAGGGTGTGCACACTGCTGCTCTGCTCATCCCAGTGTGAGTGCAGTGAGGATGTGCACACTGCTGCTCCTGCTCATCCCAGTGTCAGTGAGGGTGTGCACACTGCTGCTCCTGCTCATCCAGTGTCAGGGTGTGCACACTGCTGCTCCTGCTCATCCAGTGCAGTGAGGATGTGCACACTGCTGCTCCTGCTCATCCCAGTGTGAGTGAGGGTGTGCACACTGCTGCTCCTGCTCATCCCAGTGTGAGTGCAGTGAGGATGTGCACACTGCTGCTCCTGCTCATCCCAGTGTCAGTGAGGATGTGCACACTGCTGCTCCTGCTCATCCCGGTGGGAGGTGAGATGTGTCTGTAGGTGAAGCTCGGCAGTGGGAAGGAAATCCAGGTTCCGCTTCCAAGTCTTCCTCGGGTTTTATTCCAACTCCTCATCTCCTGACTGAGCTTGTTTTCCTCCGTGCCCTGGGCATGGAGCTCCCTCCCTGGCTGGGAGTGCTGTCGGTCGGTCCTGATGGATGTGGGAAGGGCTGGGCAGGGCCCTGGGGCTCGGCTGGAGGGGCCCGGTGGGCTCAGGGGGTGCTGCTTGCCATGGACATCCCCCAAGGAACGGACCTTAAATGCCATCCAGTGCCACCCCTGCCAGGGCAGGGACACTCCCACTGTCCCAGGCTGCTCCAGCCTGGCCCTGGGACACTTCCAGGGATCCAGAGGCAGCCCCCAGCTGCTCTGGGAATCCCAGCCCAGCCAGGAATTCCCAATTCCCAATGTCCCATCCATCCCTGCCCTCTGGCAGTGGGAGCCATTCCCTGGCTCCTGTCCCTCCATCCTTGTCCCCAGCCCCTCTGCAGCTCTCCTGGAGCCCTGGATCCTTCCCGTCTCCCGGTGAGCATCCCCGGCGGTCTCTCCCAGCCCGTCCCCAGCGCACCGCGGGGCTCCGGGCTCGCCCCCCGGCCGGAACCGTGCCGGGGCCGGGCTCCGGGGGTTTTGCCGTCCCAGCCCCGCCCCGGGGCCGCCCCCCGCCCGCCGCCCCCTCCCCAGCGCGCTCCGCCCCGGCGGCGGCTCCGCTGCGCCCGGAGAGCGCCCGGGAGCGCCGGGAGCAGCGGGAGCGGGAGCGGAGCCATGGCCGCGGTGCGTGCGGGGCCGGGGGCGGCGGGGCCGGGGCCGGGGCCGTGACACCACCTTGATGCTTTGTCCCCGGGCAGGTGACGAGGGGCACCGCGACGCGCCGCAGCCGCCTGAAGCGCTCGGACGGCAGCACCACCTCCACCAGCTTCATCCTGCGGCAGGTCAGCGCCGGGGCTCGGGCACAAGCGGGGGGCTCCGGGCACTAACGGGGGGCTCCGGGGCTCGGGCACGGCCGGGGGGCTCGGGCGGCTCCGTCCCGGCGGGGCCGGAGCCCGTGCGGAGCGCGGCGGTGCCGCTGCCCGGGGATGCTCCGGCTCCGGTTCCCGGCTCTGGCACCGCTGGAGTTGCGGGCACGGCGGAGTTCGGGGCTGGGAGCGGCCCCAGAGCCCGGCTGGAACGCACGGATCGTCCCCGCCTTGGGCTCCCGGCGGTGACTGACCCGCTGGGCATCTCCTCGTTATTCCCTGGGACACCGGGAGACGCGCTTGGCGTAGGGAATGGAAGCTGAGGTTTTAGTGATCTCCCGACTTGAGGATTTCTGGGGGGAAAATGGTTTTAAGTGTGTCAAGAGCATCGGTGTCTGAGGTTGGGGCTGCTCAGAGCTGGTTGCACAGCAGCCCCGTGCACTGCAGGAGCACTGGTAGCCATCAGCGTGGAACCTCCTGCTAACATTCCCCCTTCTCCTTCTCTGCCACCCTTTTCCTTCCCTGCTCCCCTTTTCCATCCCTGTTCCCAGTCTCCCGCTCTGCCTGCCAGCTGTCCCTGCTCAGACACAGACCGACATCCCGAGTCCCCTGGAGCATCACCCTCGGCTAAAACCCGCTGTTTGCAGTAAATATTATCAATTTCATTCCCAAGTCCAGCGTGTGCAGCATTCCCCAGAGCATGACCCCTGCATCCCGGGTTCCCCAGGGACTCCAGCAGGAACTGAAGGAGGCTCAGGGGAAGCAGAGCCGGGCCCTTGGCAGACCCAGGGACACTTGCCATGCATGGCAGCGTGCTGTGCTCAGGACATGGAGGTTGCTCTGGCACAGAGGGGGATTTAAATAACCCAGGCAGGTTTCATTTGCCTGCTGGCACCTCCTTGTCACGGCCCCGGCCCGGAGCAGCCGTTTGGGGCTGGCAGTCCCCGTTCCCAGGGTGACATGTGAGAGTCTCAGGAAGAGTCTGACGTTCAGGGTGCTCTGAGCTGTGCAGGCTGGAGTTGAAACAAGGATAAAAGGAGCAGAAAGGCAGTTTTGGGTTATGCTGGAGGGTTGAGGAGATGCTGCCGTGGGTGCTCCTGGGAGATGTCCTGGAGCAGCTCTCAGCCTGGCAGGGGAGCTGCTTCCAG